ACAATAGCCTATTTTTGGTAACTAGGCCAAAATAATCATGGCAACACACGGATTGTTGTAACCATGGGCCTCCTGCAGGCCGTATGATCCATGGGCCTTCGTCCGGCCGTATGATCCATTGGCCTTCTATATGGGCCTTAGGATCCATCGGCCTTCTATATGGGCCTTAGGGTCCATCGGCCTTCTATATGGGCCTTAGGGTCCATGCGCCTTCTACGGGCCGTAGGGTCCATGGGCCTTCTACGGGCTGTAATATCCATGGGCCTTCTACGAGCCGTAATATCCATGGGCCTTCTACGGGCCGTAATATCCATGGGCCTCATACGGGCCGTAGGATCCATGGGCCTTCTACGGGGCGTATCATCATTTCGCCAATCATGGGCCGTACTATTCGTGGACCATAATGGGCCATTAATAGGCCGTATTTGATAGCTCCATGAAAACAGCCCAAACGGGTTTTTTGACATGAAAACGGCCCAACGTATTAACGGTCCGCAAACGGGCCGACTGTAACGACGGGCTGAATTTGGCCCACAAGCAGAGAATGACAGTAATGGGCCGTATGTAACCGAATGCTGCAAATGAGCCCAGGAATCAATGGGCCCTGAGAAAGCCGAAAGATAACTTGGGTTGGAAACGGCCCAATGGAATAACGGGCCGTTAATGGGTATAAAGTGATACACTGTTCATTACGGGCCAGTTTCACCATGGGCTATTAATGGGCCAAGAGTTACAAAGGTCCTCATATGGGCCGAAAGAAGTCATGGGCCACACATGGGCCGAAAGTTAAAATGGGCTGGAATCATATTGGACGGCAGATGACGCTACGGGGCCTAATTCGGATAGGGCATAACGGGCCCTGGGTTAGCAGGCTGTAAATGGGCTATATGCGAACATGCCATTAACAGGCTTTCCGTGGGCCGGCCCGCCACCTTTTTACCATGTCAAACGGGCGGGCCTTTTCACAGGAATGGGCCTCTCTTGGGCCGTGCCACGTGTCGCCGTATCATAGGCGCCTTCGGTCCAATGAGCGGATGACACCTGTCCCAACGGCGGGCCGACACGTGTTTCCTCCAGCCAATGATGATTTTACACGTGGAAAATCCCCATTGGTCGGGGCTCTTAACGGGTTATCGGATCCAAAACCCGACCCGATAGCTTAACAGCGTTCCGTTACGGTGGATGCCACGTGTTGGTCACCCTTGACGAAAGCAGTTCTGTGACGCGCGATTTATCGTCATGGAAGTGGACACTTCCATGATGATAATTTTGGTAATGTCATGGAACACTTCTACGACAGCACAGGTATGACTATCTTGATTCTGTCATAACATCATCATGGTGGATGACAAAAAATGTGACCTACTGTGACAAACACGCATCATCACGGAAGTGTATTTTTTTTGTAGTGTATGTCTATGTACATCCTTGTATGTTCCTTGTGGGACTAACCCATGTAGGTATTGAAAGTGCAACACTCCAATGGATTGCTCCAAATGATCTACATCAACATTGAGCATCCACATCTTCGCTATCTACATGAAGTCATCATCGACAAAACCCAAGGTTAGTTCATCCCTCTTAGGGGGGATATCACATCTAGGGGGAGCTTTGCTCTAAAGATTGAGCTAAACCAACTCTAATGGTGTGAACACATCAATGCTTTATGTAAAAGTGGTAACCCCACCTGTGCTTAAACATGATTATGACCTATGATCAAATGTTCTCATTTGACTACTAAGTCAATATACTAATATATAGATTACCTAGTCATAGCCAATTGCTTGATAGATGCTAGAATTGTTTGTGCATGCTTTGACACATGTTTCATTTGCTATCTTATTATGTGAGCATGTTGGTTGCATAATTTCTCCATTCGAGGACATCCATTGGTTGTTTTGTTTGTCTGGTTTTTATTAACCAAATGAATGGACAAGGATGCCTAAGAACCTTCTCTAGCTATCTATGCTTTTCTTGTCTCAAACTCTATTCATTTGGACCCTCCGGGCAAGGAGCACTCGGAGCCACTGATCCATCAAGGGCTGCATTCCAAAATCTTCTATTGCATTTCGGGCAGACCAACTCACTCAAACTCGGTCACATCGAAAGCAATAGCCTGATCTAGGATTTTAATCTCGGTGCTACTGATTAGAATGACTCGGTCCCACCGAGTTGCAACAACTACACACAATTTTGCATCTCGGCGCCACCGACAACACATGGGTATATATACTCAGCGGATCCGTACGGTTGAAAAATCCTTCAAACATCACGAGCCCGCGCCCCATTGCTGCCCCCCTTGGTCTTCGGATCATCGTCGTCTTCGCTTATGCATCTCCACCGCAGGTCTCCGTCACCGTCAATGGGAATCAACACCGCTGTTGCCGCCGTAGAGAATCGTCACCAAGTTAGGGTATAGTTTGATCTCCTCGTGCTATCCCCTTCCGATTCAATGCACAAGGATAATGCCATGTATCTTGGCACGTTTGAGATTCTTCTATCCACCGAAAAATTCCTTTAGAATAGATTCAAAGAAAAAAAATTAGGGTTAGGTTTCCGCCGAACTCATCTCGGACTGACCGAAATGAAACTTCTGGTCCCACTGATTGGCTCTGGTCATTGCACTAAATACAACTCGGTGCCACAAAAATGTAATACTCGGTGAGACCGACAGTAAATTCTCAGTGAAACCCTTATATCTTGGAGCCACCGAACCATAACTCGGTCTGACCGATCTTGTGTGTTTAGGCTCTGTGGGTGCTTTGGTGTCACCGAGATGATCATATCGGTAGCTCCGAAATGCCTTCTGTAGAAAACTAAAACTAAAGTTTGGATTCAAATTTTTGAAAAAACATCTGCTTTTTTTGATACTCATCTACTCTATCCACACCCATCTATTCACATGGTCGCAAGATGTCAGATACCAGTGACAAAAAGAAGAGGTCAGAACAAGAAGCAAGTCTGAGTGAGGGCACAAGCCCTAGTGGTAGTTATGATGAGGGCAGCAGGAGCACACCAAGGAATCGACCAAAGGCTGCCGCTATAACAAGGAAGAAGAGAACCTTAGAGAGTGAGGATGAGGACTTTGTTGCAGATGAGGAAGTAACCTCCAAGGAGAAAGCAGTTCTCAGAAAAGAGTATAGCTCTGCAGTCACCACCAAGCCATGTCTCAAGAAGAAAGCTCCTACCAAGAAAGCTCCAAATCTAAGCCTAGGAAATCTACAGCTCCACAAGAGACAATGACATTTACTCTTGAACAATCAGATGATGATGAGGCTGATGTCCGTAAGAAGAAGAAGGGAGCTAGGAAGACCACTGCCACCGTTCTTGGAAAACCTTCCATGAGAAGAGATGAAGATGCAGAAGAGGAGGAAGAAGAACCAGTTGCACCTCCTGCCAAGACTCAGAAATTGATGTCTGATGCTATGAAGTCTGTTGCTCCCTCCAAGTCTAAGCCCAAAGCTCAAGTTCCAGCACCTAAAAGACCAATTAGGAACATCCTACCTGCTGAAAAGAACAAGGCCCTAGTGCCATAAGCTCAAGAGGATGATGAGCCACTAGTTCTCAGAAAATTGAAAAGATTCCAGATCATGATGATGCCCATCCAGTTGCAGAAAACATGAAACTCAGGAAGGACAAAGGTCTGAGAGAATGGAGGAAAGAGGATCCATATTCAATGAGGAGGAGGACAACTTGTGACTATCTTTCCCATACCCATGAACAACAAGATTTCTATGAGACAGTGCTGCTCGACAAGAAGCGCATCATAAGCAACATTCGTACTTATCTGATTTCACTAAGAAAACTCTATGCTTATCGAAGTGCCAGCTCGAGAAATCTTTGATTAATCTGGTAAATAACTGTTCTCATAGCTATGCTTGGCAATCTCATGTGTGACTCGATTGGCTTCCCGAGGATAATTCTATGCTTCACATCACGCTTACTATTTCTTTGAGACAACGTCACGCTTACTAGTAATCTCTAAAAATTTCGACTTTTTTTAATGCTCTGCTGGAAGCGAACCACCACCACCTCCCGCTTCTGGGCTGCGACCCATGTAGGTCCGCGTGAGCAGCCCACCTCACGCTTCTGCCACCATAACCTCTACTGGCCCATGTTCTTAATCCTGAGTGTTACTGGGGCAGCGTAACCGTCAAGTAGGAGGTCTCGTCCGAGATATACATGGCCAAATGGGCCGGCCCGACACGGCCAAGTAGTTAGCGTGCCTGACCAGGCCCGGTTAACCCAGGTCGGGCTGGGCCGTGCCGTGCCGGCCCATTTGACTAACTACTTGGGTCGTGCCGGGCCGACACGCATGCCCTCCTCCCAGGCACAACCCATGGCTACACGTGCTGGCCCGTAGGCACGTTTGGCATGAGATGGCCTAATTTTTACAAAAAAAAGCCGCGTCTGTCCGTGCGCAGGCGCGCAGCGCCGCAGCCAGAACGTGCCCACGAGGCACATCGATGCAGCAGGGTGCCTGCATGCATGCCTCTCTGTGACACACCATTACACCAGCATGATTTTCTTATTTAAAAGTAGCACGTAACAGCATAGCAGTAGGCAGTAGCATACTTGCACATTTAAGGTTTTTTCATTTTTTGAGACAAACTTGCACATTTAAGTAGCATGTCCCACTCACTGTGACACTCTTGTGCGTGCCGTGCTGGGCTGGCACGCATGCCAGGCATAGCAGCCCAGGCACGGCCCTAGCCGGGCCACGTGCTAGGCCCGGCCTGCGTAGCCTCGTGCCGTGCCAGGCACGCGGGCTATCGTGCCGGCACGATTAATAGGCCCGTTTGGCGAGGTTTGGTCCGAGACAGTATCGCGCATATCCCGGCCCAATCCCTCCATAAGTAGGGCCTCTCATGCGAGACAAGGCCTGACCGACGCGAGGAGGAAAAGAGAAAAAAATCTGAATGGATCGCCGCCTCCGCCGCTACACGTCCACGCCGTCGACGCGATGATTCCCATCCTCTCCGGTCTCTGCCATCGACATGATGATTCCCAACCTCTCCGGTCTCCGCCGTCGAGAACCACTTTGGCACCGCCGCGGCCGGCAACGAAGACTTCGGTGGCCTCTTCTCCGCCGACACCGACGACCAGCTCGCCCTCAAATTCCCAACCTCTCTGCCCTAAAGAACCACTTCGGCGCTGCCGCGGCCGGCAGCGACGACTTCGGCGGCCTCTTCTCCGCCGACCAGCTCGCCCTCGAGTTCCCCACCTGGAGCCACGTGCGTGAGCCTTCCCCTCCCTCAATCCCCTTTTCTCTCCACCGGCTTCTGATCCGTTTGCGCCCCTATTTCGTTTCCCGGTGGGAGTTCGATGGGTTCCAGAAGGCGACCAAGGAGATGGTGAACGACAAGAAGGGGACGACCACGCTCTCCTTCATCTTCGATAAGGCTTCATCGTCGCCACCGGCTCCCGGGCCAGCATGGGCGGGTACACACGTGAGTCCCCTGTCCCTTGGCCTCGCATTCGTGCTAGGGTTTTGTCGTGGAATTAACACGTCAGATGTCCTTAGTGTGAGGACTTAGTTGCGAGGCTAGCGCATCTATGTGGTAGCTTGAGAGGGGTTGAGCGGAACCGAGAGACGCAACACAAGACAAGGGTTTAGACAGCTTTGATCCCCGAGAAACATCATCCGGTAAAAACCCTACATGCTATTTGAGGCTAGGTCTCATTATCATCACGAGGGAGTCGCCGTAAACCGGCTCTCCTCTTTGTGTCTAGCCCTAAGATTGTTTCTTCTTGCTTCTAGCTTGTTCCTCTTTGGGGAGCCCTACCCCTCCTTATATATGTTGAAGAGGCGGGTTACATGTAGAGTCCAACTCGGACTTAAGACTTAACTATTCTAACTTATCTCCATGGGCTTCTTAACATCTCGGGCTTCATATCGTCTTGGGCTTCATAACCCCTGGCAACCCAGTTATCACTGTCTGCTGGTTTAACATTGTCTGCCGGTTTAACATTGTCTGCCGGTTTAACATTGTCTGCCGGTTTACCACCTGCCGGTTTACCACCAGCCGGTTTACCGTCTGTCGGAGCCATCTATCTTGACTGTCTTAACTATCCGCCGGTTTAACATCCGCCGGTTTACCAAGTCCCAGCCGGTTTACGACTCCGGCCGGGTCATTCCGCGAGGTATATCCCTGACATTAGCCCCCAGTTTAATTTGGATTTATCCATGTTAAACTGACTCTGATCATCCTTAAGTCCTTGTCACTTCCTTCTTCTAGAAAATCCAGTTTAATAGGCCAGCTTCATAATAAATTTGCTGACATTGGTTTGTCACAGAGAAATATTGTGAAGAATAACTTCTTTGACTCAGCTCCCAATGACTTAACAAAAATAATGGTCCTTGAAATCCTCATCTGAGCTTCAGCCGGTTTAAGAATGTAGAACTTGCTGGTTTATAAATATTAATAGCACTGGGGCATACTTGTAGTTAACATCCAGCTTGAAAATATACCTCTTATACGACTATCACTTGTAGCCCTCAAGTCTTAAGAAGGTAGCATAGCAACAGCTTAAGACTTGCTTCAATATAAATATCACAATCTTGAAGAAATCCAGGTTGTTCATCTCAATCACTAGTCAGAATTGAGTATTCCACATATGTAGCCCCCAAGTGCCGGGTTGTCATGCTTGCAGCAACCTGGGACTTGTAATTTCCTGATGCTCATAAAAACTTCAACTAGTGTAGCCTCCAAGGGTCGGGTCATTATGCAATAATGAACAGGGACTTTGTAAATATAATCATGTAAACTTTTAATAGCAACAGTGTAGCCCCCAAGGGCCGGCTCAGTAAGATAATATTGAGCTGGGACTTTGATATATACTTCAATGAAAATAACATCATATGATATATCCCCCATCATGGGGCTTGAATCCACGTCCACAAAGTTAAGAGCCTTGTGCTTTACCAACTGAGCAATGTACCCTTCAATATAATGTAGAAAAAGCTTTTGTACCTTTAATTGTTGATAGGAGCAATTGGCAGCCCCCAAGGGCTGGCTCATTGTAATGTGATGAGTCGGGTCTTCAATAAGATGAGCAAAAAATGACTTTGCATTAGCCCCCAAGTGTCATGGTTCATACTTGCAGCGACATGAGACTTATATATTTGATGTAATCGTGACTTAAATAATGTAGCCCCCAATTGTCGGGTTGTGAGCCTGCAGCAACTCGGGACTATTCCTTCAATGTAGAATAAAAATCATATCCATTGATAATATGATAGCCATTGCGCTAAAGCGACTTTGAATACCTTAATCATAATACTGGTTATTGATAACCATAATAAAATCCAGCCATGTTGGATTTTTGAAGATTTGAATAATATAATCCAATGATTTATTAGCGCATGATTCCAATGGCGCAATCCAAATATTTACTGGCGACTTATAGTCGAAACCAGACCGGGCTGATAGTCTCCGGATTATGATTTAATTGTGTTCCGTCAATCTGTAACTGACAGTTGAACCGGATTTAATAATGCTTGTCGGTTTAAAAAATGCAACCAAAACAATAGTCATTTAAGAAAAAGACTGAAGCAAAAGGCAATGATAAAACCATTTGCAAAAAAGATGCTTTATTGAGCTGATCAGATGGTGTTACCATGGTCAGACAGGACCAAGCCCCCTAATAGGTGTGGCGATGGTTCAAGTCAGACAGGTCCCCAAATGAAACAGTGGCATTTATGCCGATCAAAAGGCATGGCAATGGTTCGGGTTCGACCAAGCCCCCAAGTGATTCTGTGGCCTTAGGTCGATCAAGAGGTGTGACTGGTTCAGACTTGACCATGTCCCCAAGTGATCTTGTGGCTTTCGCCTATCAAAAGGTGTTGCATTGGTTCGGACGCGACCAAGCCCCCAAGTGATATGTGGCATTGCGCCGATCAAGAGGTGTAGCTATGGTTCGGATACGACCAAAGCCCCCAAGGGATCAATGATATGATAAGCCAATAAGGCATGATACCCATGTTTGAACCGCGCATCCTGGCAGCAGGTCCTCTTTGGCACCTTTTAACTTATTGTAAGAGATAAATCCTTCTTGAACCGGATTTTGAACCGGATATTGAGAGCTTCAAAGTTTTGTGGGAGATAGCTTTCCCTTGAACCGGATTTTAAACCAGAAACCTTCTTTTTAAGATGGAAATTTTCTGACGGCCTTTAAATTTGCACCAATATGGCGGTTTAGGGTCCTGCATTAGATAACTTTTCGCAAGCCGGAGTAATTGCTTTTTCAAAGAAAGCAATATATAATATAAAAATATATTGGCTGGATTTCACCTGATATGTCAGGCCAGTTGATACCCATCGCGGGGTTATACGCCAGTACGGATAAAAGAGTCGACCGCGGCATTGCTGATGTAGTCCGGACTGCGGGGGCGGCGGCTTGTGTTCCGGTTCATCAGTGTGATATTCACAAATGCCGACGTAGAATAGCTAGCGCGCGCCGTCCGTAGTAGGGCATCACTTTTATAATGAGCACTTGTCCTGTATAGAAAGATATAGGCCAGAGTAATCGTTCTCGGAAAAACAATATCTAAAAAAAAGAAACAGATGAAAAAGATAGCACCTGGAAATTTAATTGGCCGTGCCACCAGCGAGTAGTAGCATGCTTTTTGTCTGCACGTATAGACTACTCCACCGTAAACCGGCCAGAACACATTCTATTTCCTTGTGACTGTTAGCACTAGGATTTGACCCTCAGGTTCTTCTTTTTTTTTCACCTGAGCACATCTTCTCTGCTTTCTTTCTTTAAGAGCAGCCGGATCAAGGGGCCGGCGGCACGCAGATCGGACTACGGGGGTGCCCGGTAGCACAAGGCGGCCAGGCGGGACCACAACCCGGCAGGGGCGCGGGGCAGGAGCCGGCCTGGGGAGGTGGAGCCGGGCAACCGAGGTGCAGCAGCGAAGCGGCCTGGCAAGGCGAAGCCGGCGAGGGGCGGGAGGCTGGCGTCGCGGGAGACCGGCTGGACGGGCGTGCGCGGGACGGCCAGTCAAGGCGGAGCGGAGAGGTGAAGTAGAGCGGGGCTAGGGCGGCTCAGGGCCAGGCCGGTTCAACGTCAGGGCCTGCCCGCGGCAACTCGAGGTGAGGGGAGACCCTGGCGATGGTTGAGACCACGCGGCGGCAACTTGGCGGCGATTTGGCGAGGCACTCTCGGCGGTGACCCGGCGGCGGTTTGGCGAAGCGCTCAGCAGTGACCCGGCGGCGATTTGGCGGGGCACTCGGCGGTGACCCGGCGGCGATTTGGCGAGGCGCTCGGCGGCGATTTGGCGAGGCGCTCGGCGGCGATTTGGCGAGGCGGACTAGAGTGAGGCGCGGTGACTCGCGGCAGAAGCCATGCCGGGTCAATGCACGGGAGAAGTAACTCGGGGACGACCGGGTCAGTACAGGCGATGGCGACTCGCCAGCAGATAGCGAGTATAAGGGTGACTCAATGAAATCATGGTGACAACCCGGATTCGAGGAGACGGATTCCGTGGCGATTCAGCATGGGCGGCGGCGGGTCAAAATAGCTGCGGCGGCAGCCCACGGCGTGGCGAAGTGGAGGCGGCCTTACTCTGGTTTATAAGAGGTGACAGCCAGGACCGGTGGTGGGTCAGACGCGTGGAGGCGACGGTGATTTGAGGTGGCCGCGGTGGTGCGAAGCAGCGCGCCGTGTGGAAATCAGTCGTGGAGGAGACGTCTCTGAGGCGGCTTTGTCCGCAGGGGAAGAGCGGCGTCGAACCGGAGGCGTCTCTGAGGCGGCCTTACTCCGGTTTATAAGAAGGAAAACGGGCATGGTGACCCGGCACGGCTGCTCACACTGCAGAAACGGCTTGGCTGTCCAAGGCAGGCTCTGTCCGGCGCGATTACTCAAGGAGCAGGAGTGGGCGGTTCGTCCTGTGACTCGCAGGAGAGCCGTCCGGCGGGCGCGACCACAGAGTGGTGCGAGGAGAAGAGACTCGGGCGCGGCCCGGCGGAGAGCGGAGCGAGCACCACGGGAAGGGGCGCGACCAGCGCCCGTACGAGGGGACGCGAGGCTGCGTAGGAGGTGCAGGGCCTGCGTGACGCGGAATGGCGCAAGGTGGAAGCGGTCTTCTCCAGGGACAGCGGCAGCGAAGACCACGGCGACAGCGGGGGCGAGCTGCTGGCTTGATACGAGGCTCGGGGTCCGGGTCAACGACAGAGTTGGAGTCCGTGGACGACCCGTTCCTGGGTCATGGGCTCGTGGCTCTCTTCTCTGTTTTTTTTCTTTGAAAATTACCCTGATGATGATCCGGCTGCCGTTCTTGGAATCTTCTGACTCGGATGGAGGTAGTAATCTGATCTATTAGCACTCAAGTAGGAGTAGTACTAGTCTTGGACTTGCGGACATGGAGTAGTACTAGTGTTGGACTTTGTGGACGTGAAGTAGTACTAGTCTTGGACTTCTGACTCGGCTGTCGCTCTTGTAACACGTACTAGTGCAAGTGCTCGTTGATTTTTCAGATTTGACTATTCTTCACATCGGGAAAAAAGGTAACAATAACCGGTTGATTTCCACGGCCTTGAATTTGTGGACATGGGGTAGCAGTGGAAACTCGGCGGTTTAAACAGTAGTCTCGGATCAATCTCCAGCGCTGCATATAGGACGTGAAAGTAGCGTCCAACCGATCGATCTGCTCCAAACTATTACTTGCAACGCCGTAGGTAAATCACCTGTGCTGCAGTCTTTGTCTTGGACTCAGCGGAACGCACGATCCGGCAGCAGTGACTCGTCAAATCTGACCAAACAAACGTAATTCGATGATTTTGATACGTACTGACAGAATCCCTTTTGCCCTTGGCTTCTTACGATGGTGCAGCGGAAAGTGATCCGGCCATGACGGATTGTCTGGTGGCATGTCACGATGCACATAGATGCCATCTGGTTCTGCTTCATCTGAAAACCATGAACTTCTCGAAACCTTGGAAAGAATCCCTCCAAGAACTCAACACCACCGTGCGCAGGTCTCATGGTGGGTGCCAACTGTCGTGTAATTAACACGTCAGATGTCCTTAGTGTGAGGACTTAGTCGCGAGGCCAGCGCATCTATGTGGTAGCTTGAGAGGGGTTGAGCGGAACCGAGAGACGCAACACAAGACAAGGGTTTAGACAGCTTCGGGCCCCGGGAAACATCATCCGGTAAAAACCCTACATGCTGTTTGAGGCTAGGTCTCATTATCATCACGAGGGAGTCGCCGTAAACCGGCTCTCCTCTTTGTGTCTAGCCCTAAGATTGTTTCTTCTTGCTTCTAGCTTGTTCCTCTTTGGAGAGCCCTATCCCTCCTTATATATGTTGAAGAGGCGGGTTACATGTAGAGTCCAACTCGGACTTAAGACTTAACTATTCTAACTTATCTCCATGGGCTTCTTAACATCTCGGGCTTCATATCGTCTTGGGCTTCATAACCCCTGGCAACCTAGTTATCACTGTCTGCCGGCTTAACATTGTCTGCCGGTTTAACATTGTCTGCCGGTATACCACCTGCCGGTTTACCACCAGCCGGTTTACCGTCTGTCTGAGCCATCTGTCTTGACTGTCTTAACTGTCCGCCGGTTTAACGTCTGCCGGTTTACCAAGTCCCGGCCGGTTTACGACTCCGGCTGGGTCATTCCGCGGGGTATATCCCCGACAGGTTTGGTTCTGCGGGGATTCGATTTACTGGCTTGGATGCGTGATTAGGGTCGGGATGTTCATAGATCTCCTATCGAAATCTGGTTCCTTTGTCCGTTGATTATCTCTGGGAGGACATTTTGGTGGTTAGGGTTGTGTTCTTTTAGTCTTGCGTACTAGGGCTGTACATTTTTTATATCTAGTAATTCAGGGCAGTGATTCATACTTCTATGAAATCTCAAACCAACTTGATTTGGGTGTGAAGAACTTCTGCTTAGGTTGTAGTGTACAACAGAGAAAAACATATCACAACCTCACAATATCTGAGCTACCAATTGTAGTGCCATAACCTCACACAAGTTGTGGTGGCCGTGCTTGGATGTGGCGGTTCATTTGGATTACGTGGTGAATACAAAGATACTAATTGAGTTTGGATGCTAATTATCTGTAGGAACTGGGAAGGGAGGTAATCTGTAGTGGGATTGGTAATAATAGAGAGTTGTGAATTGATGTGATACTGATATTACACACACAAAAAAGATAGTTTTGCTAATAGTTACCATTTGATTCAAGTCTCCTTATCTGAAGGTCCAACATTTGTGCATATTGATTTGTGTCTTTGTGGTTTGGAGAAAGCCAATAGAAAGCTGCTGTTATTATATAACGTCTATTTTTCCACAAGTGCTAATCCTTTTGTAAAATTGCCCTTGCATGATGTTTGTTAGTCGTTGTAGAAGGCTTTTGCTTGATGCAAGGATCATCACTTAATCATTCATCAGAATGTATTTCTGTCCTTACATGATTCTGTGTTTCCTTTTCTGCAGCTTTAATCCCTACATGCGGAACCATGGTTTGTGGGGCTGCTGATTGCCAATTTTGGCATAGAAACTTGGGTTAAGGTAAAATTTCACATGCTTGTCTACTTGCATCTCATATTTTGCATAGCACTAGTTGAGTGCCCGTGTATTGCAATGGGATATTATATTTATCTTCTTCAGCGTCTACTATGTTATCCATCTGTCTATCCACGTCCCATAGGAATACAAACTTTTATTCTCCCTCCTTTTTTTACTCTTGCATGTATTTTATCACAGCTCCATCTTTTATGTGTTTCCACTTTGCTCACCATTGCTCATGGGTGTTGTCACATGATACGGAACAAGAAATTTATGTATATAGAAAATAAGTTCTCAGGATTGTAACAATACAAAGCATCATTAATTTTGCAGCCAACATTTCATTTGCATGGTACTCGACAAACTGCACCAATGTTAATCCTATATCCCATCAATTGAGTTATTCCACGACAAACTATCTGTGACTAAAGTCCCGCGTTGCTATCTGAACTGGGTGCTACCACAAGTGAAATCCACCTCGAATTACCTATTTTTGGATCGCATTGATGCGCAATGGTGTAGACACAATCCAGTCTTCTACTGACGAAATATCGAAACAATGTTAGTAACTCTGTTAATGTTAAATACACATAAGCAAAATGTCTATCAAAACTTCAATGACGAGATGCCTGCAACATTCTTGAATTTGCATTACTAAGTACTCCCTCCATCCCAAATAAGTGTCCTAACTTTGTACTAAATCAGCGGCACTTACTTTGGGATGGAGGGAGTATATACAGAACTAAAGTTTAACCAAGGACATTACGTCATTGCATTTCTTTACAGAATTAGCCCACCGCTGTGATTACAATGCTAATTGTAGTAATTTTTAGATTCAACTATGTTATACTCCCCCCGTCCCAAAAAGCTTGTCTTAGATTTGTCTTGATACAGATGTGTCTAGACACATTTTAGTGTTAGATTTATCTGTATCTAGATAAATCTAAGACAACCTTTTTGGGATGGACGTAACAGAACTGAAGGTGCCTACACCAAATTTCTTCAAGATTTCTGAAGAAAGCAAAAATAAGAAAATATTTGCCCTAAGATTTCTCCAAGAAATGCATAGCAGGAGCAAAATTAATATATTGATGTAGATGACTTTAATCTTCATGTAAGGTGGATCATCTGCCATACATGAGGGTCCATGTACATGCTCATAAACTTGGTTGATGTTGCCGTGGCTAATCTAGCCTTATTTCTTGCCGCTGGTTTCTATGAACAAGAAACCAACAAACTAAAGTTTACTTTAATATAAAGTTTTAGATGCAGCCAGAAAAGAGCCGCCAAGCTCTTGTACATTTAGTCGATGGACTTTAAAGAAAAATCATGGATAAATGAAGAAGCTAGATCTGGCCATATACTGCAAGAAACAATGAGTGAGCGAGACAAAAGCTTAGTGATGAGGAACGAATACGTTGGTATTGAAGACAAACACTAGGGAAGCCTTAAAAAATCTACTCTTCCACCCTTTCGGCGGCCACGCAAGCATAGACCATGAGAACTCCAAGAACCTCTCTTGAACCCATGGCTCACGTACAACTAGAGTAGCTGCTGCACTCAGAGTGTGTGCTGCTGTGGTGCCAGTCGTACATGACATAGAAGACGGCGAGCTACATCTTGCATTTTCAAACGAGGGCGACCTAGGCTTGTGTTCGACAATGCAGTTCTTGGTTGGTGTGTCCGATAGCGACCAGGCAGTGATGCGAGGCGGCGACGACCGAACGCGATAGTAACCCTAGCTGGTCGCTCTCGCTCTTCACGAGAGAGGAAGAATAAATCAGATTGGGTCGAGCGAGTCGATGAGGCAGGGAAGAGAGCAGGCGGGTCCACTCGCCGGCGAGAATTTGGTTGAGAAGAGGAAGCGACACACGAACATGTGAATCAGCGTACCACGACCTACCATCACAACCACACCCCCCTTTGATAATAAAAGATAGTAAGCATAACAATAGTTTCTTCCTTCAGAGCTTGATGAGCTCCATGAGCTCCTGAACAAGCGAAGAATCTCTATGGCTGGTTCTTTCAAGACGTTGGCTAATATCCTTTATTTTCATATGACGGGATGGTACATTCAATTGGTACAATGATTGTGGATTTGATGGAACTGTTAGTGGCCCTTTGACATATTTTAGTGTCGTTAAGCTGAACTTAGGTCTATGCTTAACAATTATGCTCTTTTTCTAGGGTCTGGTCTTGGCACTATGTTGATAAGCGAGGGTGCAAGGCTCAAGGGAAGCCGGTTCTCTAACTCTCTGTATGCTTATGGTATCTTGGACGAGGGGTATGTATTTTTATACCTCTATATGTTGCTTTGCTCACTGTTCATATTATCTTGAAGTTGCATCCCTTATGTTTGTGTTTTACATTTCAGGTACAAATTCAACGTGTTAGTTGCGGAAGCTGTTGAGTTAGCATGGCGGGCTTTTATCATGCAACATTCCGTGATGGAGCAAGTGGTGGTTGTATTCATATTGGTATGCATTCTATTTCCTAGTATCTATCCTATTATTTGTTTTGTTCACTCGATAAGCATGATACAACATGCATCCATATTTGGTAAACACCTTATCATTATATCTTCCTTTTGAAATCGCAAACATAAATGTTTATTGAGTTACAATTACTTTCGTAAGTTTTTGGCAAAGTTCAGAGTTTATTGTATTTTTCATCATGTTTGGGAACAGAGATTACCGTATGGTGATAAATTAAACCACACCCTTCTGTTTACAAATGTACAGTGTTGTAGAGTATAGACATGGGTCTAGACATCTAGTGAGACCTACCTAGGATTTCTAAAACAATATAATATAATGGTTACATGTAAATTGGATGCATAGATTTATTCCTTTTTTCATACGTTCACATGTTAGTAGATTCTAAAAATATGGTGTGATGTATAAAAAATTATGGTCAATGCGATGTCTAGTGTTTGGGTCAGACTATTATTTGAAAGTCATGGTTAAAGTTTATTGAGAAAAAAAGATTATCCTTTGGGCTGGATAGAGCATGACTATATCCCACTCGGTCCTATTATGCAAACGATGGCCCACTTTGGAGAAGAATACACCAACCATTTTGGTAGTGAGCCTAACTCATCTCAACAACTCTGTTTGGGCCTCATTCCCCTAATACGCTAGACTATTTCTCTTATTCACTTCACGATTTGAGAGAGGGAATGCCAGCGGCCATGGCACAGTTGTCCCCCCGGCCATTCATGCCACTTGAGAGGATGAAGGCTCTTGTGACATCGTGCGAGAGGCATTAGCGCTAGGCCGCTAGCGAGTTTGCCACCATCCGAACCACGACGGCAATGCCATAGAGCATATAGTGGAGGGTAGAGCTGGATTGTGGCGTGCCGATGTTGCAGGAGGAGGTGCACTCGCACGGGCACTACGGTCTGGTTCTTCTTCCAAGCAATCAGAGAACCACTAGAAATGTAAAGTATGCAGAAAGTGAACGACGATCCAAGGGACCATTGCAATATGCCTGGGAGTTGTAATGAATGGGAACAGGGAAAGAATATATAGTGAGGGATCGTGCCACGAAGATATATCAAAAAACACGAAGATGACTATAGTGAACCGAGGTGGGGGTAGAGACGATCTGACTCAAAATATGGACATGATAGGAGATATCCGGGCGAGTGATAGCTAAACGACTCCCAACAAGATGACGATAACGTGTCGGAGCTGACAAAGGGTCACCATCAGTAGCACGGAGCTGAACATTGAGCTACATGGGAGTCAATGGTGCGCTCATCAGTAAGAGCAATACGAGCCAGAATATCTTGGATTACTTTTCTTGACCAAGAAGAGACCATAATCCCAGTAAAGTACCAAAGTGGGCCAAGATCATACATAAGAAAGTGCTCACTAAGACTGCCTTCACAAAGGCAATATACTCGGTGTCTTTGCCAGTGGTGAACATGTCATCAACTTATAAAAGAAGAGTCCAACCAAGAGCAGAAAGGTGGCAAACAACACAGGATCATGAGCACTCGTTGAAACCAGCGACAGCCATCATAGAGGCAAAACGCTCAAACCAGTATCGAGGGCTTGCTTCAGGCCATGGAGAGCGACGAAGACGACAAAGCATGTTGTAAGGAACAAAATACCTAGGTGGTGGCTGCATGTAAACCTCCTCACGTAGCTCACCATTAAGACATTTTTAACATCAAGTTGAGATACAGATAAGTGGCGAATGTGCGAACAGTGGTCATATGGTTCGCATGAGCAAAAAGTCTTAGTGTAATCAAGATCATGCTCCTCCTGAAAGCCACGAGCCACAAGACGAGTTTTGTAATGCTAAACAGAACCATCAGAGCGAGTCTTAACCTTGTAGACCCCTTACAAGTGACGAGACGAACACAAAGTGGAAGAGAAACAAGATCCCACGTCGGTGCGCTCAAGAGCAGCAATCTGCTTGTGGGGATCCCGACTCATAAGTCGAGATCACCGAATGCACGTGTACAGTGATCCCAGAGATCAATGCTCACTGAACACACAGAAGCTGAATAACAAGAGTCTTACATCCATACATACCGTTTTACACAAGTAGGACCATTAGGGTCAAGTCTTGAGTGTATCATCGCAGCAGAAATCTTCAATAACAACTTGGACCCATGCCATCTGCCTTAACCCTACAGGCATTCTGACTGGGAAGCGTCCTAGCTCGCATGTTTGTCACAGAAGTATTCTTCATCATATCATGTTCTTTCATGCCTGGCCAATAAAATAATCAGTGGCAAGCCAATGAGTACTTTGAATGTACTCGCAAGCAACCCAAGAGTGATAACAAAATAATTATACAAAGCTCTACTGCTTAATTGGCATTGTTGAGGAAAGCTAGTTTTTCTCATGTAAGTATGATCAACATTTATCAAGGACAGGAATGCGTCTGCAACAAGCATTAGGAGGTTACAGATATCAACATCGATAAGGAGTTACGAACAACTCATGCTCAAGCTCATCGTGACTTCCTCACGAGTCACATCATCAATATCACCAAACGGTGTTGTTTGTCAGAAACATATGGACATAGTCTAAGCAGCACCGCCCAACTGTCCTTGACCGTGGACACGGCTATTCGAATAGTTTTTCACTCTACAGAGGTTGCACACTGTACCCACAAGATCCGGGG